GGTCTTATATTCTTTCTAAGTGAGATTTAAATTCAAGGTTTCATTAACCTGTATATCAGCGGTGACCTCAAGGTCCCTGAAATCATCATTTAAGGTAGAAATTGAATCAACTGACCTTGCTCTTGATGCGGATCTCTTTACTCCAAAGGGCATTTTATATGTTCACTTTAAAATTGCAGTTCAGTTTATATTTTAGCTTCACTTATGTGCACTTTAATTCAGTTTACTTTTAGTAGTGTAGTTTCACTATCGGCACTTTTCTTTACTTTTGTAGTGTAGTTTCACTTCTGGCACTTTTCCTTTTGTAGTGTGGTTTCACTTCTGGCACTTTTCTTTACTTTTGTAGTGTAGTTTCACTTTTGGCACTTTTCTTTACTTTTGTAGTGTAGTTTTACTTTTGGCACTTTTCTTTACTTTTGTATTGTAGTTTCACTTTTGGCACTTTTTACTTTTGTAGTGTAGTTTCACTTTTGGTACTCACTTTTGCCCTATATTTTTATAATTTTGTAGTTAAGTCTCACTTCTGTGCACTATATTTTATACTTTTGCAATGTAGTCTCACTTTTGTGCCTATAATACTTTTGCAGTGTAGTTTCACTTTTGTGCCCTTTATATTTAATACTTTTGCAGTGTAGTCTCACTTTGGGTGCCTTTTTGCAGTGTAGTTTCACTTTTGGTGCCTTTTATACTTTTGCAGTGTAGTTTCTCTTTTGTGCCTTTAATACTTTTGCAGTGTAGTCTTACTTTCGGCACTATTTATTTATACTTTTGCAGTGTAGTTTCACTTTTTGTGCCTTTATACTTTTGCAGTGTAGTTTCACTTTTGTGCCTTTTTATACTTTTGCAGTGCAGTTTCACTTTTGGGTGCCTTTTAACTTTTGCAGTGTAGTTTCACTTTTATATTTTATTTTAGTGCACTTACAGTTTTCTACTGCTCTTAGTTTATATACGTTATGTTTGTTGATGAGGTGTTGGAGTTTCTGTTATCAAATCTTTTTTTGAGTTCTTCACAAAAAGTTGATAAATCGTTGTAGTATATAAGAGCTAAGTAGATAAATATAACTATTATTAAACTGCAGCAAATGTTTTCACCACTCATATATTTGTACTATCTGAAGTGTTGGAAAGCCAGGGTCCGCTCGTTGTGTAGATGCCCACTTATGTTGAATGATTCTTTTCTACGGAACCTTCAACTTTTGATCTTAATGAGTTCTCTAATTTAGGACTGATCTTCTGAATGGAATCCGGCTTGGACGGGAGAAGGAAAAGACCAAGAAGAATTAGAATCGAACAGAGGAGAAGATCTAAGATATATCTCAGATCTAAATAAAATAAAGATAATTAATTGAAAGGACTTAATTGAAGACGAGAGTTAGATTGACTCGAGCTCTAAAGGTGCTCTGGAGATGGAAGGGGCCACGCGGGACTTAACTGAAGAGAGAGTCAAAGAAAATAGAGACAGAATGTATCCGATGGTTCAGTGTGAGTTCTGGCAAAATATTACTTATAGACGGGAGACTTGAAATTCTATTTCTAATGATTGAAACTAATGAGTTCACAAAACAAGGTTTATTTTCAATACAAAGATATAAGACTAGATTAATTTTAAAAGAATTAGAGAAAATAATTCACAAGTTAGATTACAATTAATTATTTTACTGGTAAACAAATCAAAGGAGAAGTTATTTGAATTAAAAGATTTACAATAGATGAGACAGAGACGAATAATTTATATTAAAATTATTCAAGTTGGAAAATTTCTAAATTCTAAGATTAACTTAGAGCTCAAATATGCTAAGCCTGAATTGCACTTAAGCTATAAATGTGAAAATATAAATTCTAAGATTAACTTAGGTTACAAATATGCTAAGCCTGAATTGCACTTAAGCTATAAATGTGAATCGAGAATTCTAAGATTAACTTAGAGCACAAATATGCTAAGCCTGAATTACACTTGAACTATAAATGCGATTTATAAATTCTAAGATTTACTTAGAGCACAAATATGCTAAGTCTGAATTACACTTGAACTATAAATGAGAAATATGATAAGTACAAATATAGAGTGGACAGTTTGCTTTAGAATAATATTAATGCTCACCGAACATTAGAGAGAGAGGATGTTTCCTGCTCAGAGGCTGATTGAGAACTGTTTGAGGATCGGA